TCTCTGTTTGCACGGCCCGCGACGTTCTGCCTTGAGGTCTCTGGGACTCCCCCAAGCAGAACTGACGGGGCTGTTGCATGGAGCACGGAGACTTTTCACGGGCTTTTAGGAGTTTGGGGCTGTTTGGGCTTTGGTTGGATTTTGTTTGGTTTGTCTGTTTCTGTGGTTGGTTTCTTTGTAGCTACTGTTTTGTTTATGTTTTTTGTTTACGGGTTTTGTGGTTGGGGGTGATGTTTTGTTTGTTCTTTTGTTGTTTTTATTTTGCTTTTCCACCGCAAGTTGCCCTCTTCCCAAGTATCTCTAGCTAGTTGGTAAGCAGTGACCTTTATTAATGCTACTCCTCTCAAAAAGCGCCTTCCTCGCCCCTCGCCAGGCAGCTTTGACTGCTAGTTCGCTTGAGCCTGTGCGGAATTCACATTTCCCTCGAAGTCTTCCATGAAAGTTTCGCCCCGCTCTAGCGTGGCGTCCCATCACGCAGCCCAGCAGAGCTGGCATTTTGCTCCTCTGCCTCCTTACCGTGTGCCCGCACAGATGGTCAGAGACACCCAGAGCCGCTCTCCGAGCGGGAAGTCATGCCTAATTTATTCCTGTCTTCTCCCTGTAACGCCGGTAATGCCTTAAAGCAGTTCGGGCGAGGCGAACTAACCCTGCCGTTCGCACTCGCTCAAGTGGCCGCCAGCATCCCGCGAACGCCCCCTCCCCAAAAGCTTATTTTTTTAGCTTTTTATCCCGGAGCAGCAGGCCCCGCGGCCAGCCCGGCCCGCCCGGCAGGGATGCGGCTCACGGCGGGTTCCAGCAGCTGGGCAGCAGCGCCGAGTCTTCGGGATGGCCCTACATCGAAAAGTCACGAAATGCCAGCGGATTCGGGCCGGTTTCCAGCCCGTCTCCCGTCCTGCCCGGTCGGCAGGGGTTCTTCGGCCCTTCGGCTGAGCCAGTCTTTTCTGCTAAATGTTGTTTGCAGCGTATGTTTCGCACATTCATTCTCTTTCGGTCTATTATTCCGGGCGCTAACTGCTAACACCTCATTGTCACCTTGAAATTTCCTCTGCTATTTTGCAATTAAAAGCTTAATAGCCCTGGAAACGGAGTTCATGTGGCGCAGTTTACCATCGCCACTTCGTCTGAAAAGCTTTCTGCTGGGATCCCATTATGTGCTTGAATAAACCTTTTCGGCGAGCAGAAATGGGAACCGGGCTTGTCAGGTGTTGGGTTACAATGGACTTTCAGGCAGGGGACGTTTTGCTAACACAAATACGAATCTGGCCCTACGGATAGATGTTGTCAAATACTAGGACATGGAAACCATTCCTATCAAATATGAGAAAAGGATTACAGTATTATATCAAACTGGGTATTTCAGCCTAAACTCCCAATGTGCAGCCAAGCGAGAGAGGGGCCCCGGTCCTCCGCCAGCCTACCGCCGCGCTGGGCACCTGGGCTCGGGATCTGGCAGCGCCCGGCCGGCTTAAGCGCCCCGCAGGACCCTCTCCAGCTAGAGGGGAAGCAGGGCTTTCACCATGATCCCCACCGCCGCAGGCAGCTGCATCCCGTTTCTTCGTTTAGAGGAAACGGATTTCCAAGCGTGGGTGCGCATCATCTTACGTAATTTTGTGATAGTTGAATGGGTGGTTCGCTTCTTTCTTTTTCTCCCCTCGATGGGGACTCCCGAGTGTGCAAGAGGCCCCACGGGGGAGGCCAGTTGCGAACTGCAGGGTTCAGTGCATGCACTCCGGCAGCAAAAAAATTATGTTCTACTAGCACTGACAGAAAATGCACTGTTCTCCTTATCTGATCCGATTCACCTCCCTGGTGCGATTTACAGGTGGAGTGCTCATCCTCCTCACACCTCGCGCACAGCCCCGGGGAGAAAGATCACGCGCAATCACTCTTCCTCTAGAAGTAGAAAAGTAACGAGGAAAGAGCCTAGTAATGAAATACCACGCAAATACTTTCGTAGCATACACTGCGCCTTTTATTCTCTCCGGGGAAATACTTCCCGAGTTTTAAATCTGATTTCGTTATTACGTAGCCTCGCTAAAACCTTTATTTCGTGTAGCGGTTATGGTGGAAAGATGCCTGGGAAGAGCAAGGGAGATCTTGAGGCAACGAAAGGGGTCCGTCCGGGTCCAAGCAGCAGCCCCTGCCCGCCCGCGGACGCTACGCCGCGGGCAGATGAACGCTTATAATTTGTTTCCTCCCAGCCAAAACGCATATAACTTTTTTGGGTTTTTTCCGCCAATATATTACATTTTGATTCAATGTCCTCGCTGCCACACGGGAAATATCCGTGTTTCAGCGAGAAACCCCTCCACGTACGGAAATACAGGACACTGCAAGTCTGCCGCATCAGACATTATCGTTTAGGTTTCAAGCAACCTGACTTGCCGTGAATTTCACATTCCTTTCTATAGCCCCCGCTTGGTTTGGGTAGCTGTCTTGCCGCGGGATGCAGGAGAGGCAGCGGAGCCCACCGGGGCAGGTGCCTGCGGCGGCTCTCCAG